TGTTATCCTGGTGGGTGAGGGAAGGGGAGAGCAGGTTTTTATTTTGTGTTGATTTATTTTAGTAAGCTCTTTTTGTTTATTGCAGGGTAGCAAAATGTTAAAAAGCTAGAGATGTGGGTCTATTGATTATGTTTCTACAGCTATATCCAACTAAATTGAGGTCATATTTCTTAATTTCCTTGCAATCAATTGTAGAAATATATAGCAATCAACTGTTAGATTACTTTGTGTATTCATACATAAAGTATGACATATACATTGGTCTTCCATGGTGAAATGTGGTCAGATCTGTGCCTGGTAGATGACATAGGAATTTGAAAATGATCAAGTGGGTACATGTGGCCTGGGTTTCAGGACCAGTGCACAGAGCAGATGCCTCAACTTTCTGGTCCATTCTTTAAGAAGCTATTGCTTCTTAAAGGATGTCTCAAAACCTCTCCTGACACTGTCCTTAGCAATAAGGATTTCTTCCATGTATCAGATGCCTGTGATGTGCCAGGCACATTATTGATATCCTTTATATCCCAGTTAGATATTATCCCCATCTAGATGAAGAAATTGAGCCTCTAAGAGGAAAGTGACTTGGTCAGGGAAATATATCTAATAAGTGGTCAGCTAAGTTTCAAACCTATTAATGTATCTGATTTTTTAAAAAAAATATATTACTGTGGTAAGAATACAACATAAGATCTACACTCTTAACAAATTTTTAAGGGCAAAATACAGTAATCTTGATTATAGGTACAATGTTGTACAGTGGGTCTCTGGAACTTATTCAGCCTTGTATAACTGAAAGTTTATATCCTTTGAACTCCCTGTACCTCCCTCCCCTCCACCAAAGGCAACTACAACAGTACTCTTCTGTTTTTTATGAGTTTAATTATTTTAGGTACCTCATGTAAGTGGAATCATGCAGTAGTTGTCCTTCTGTGACTGGTTTCTTTCACTTAGTATAATGTCCTCCAGATTCATTCATGTTGTTGCATAAAGCAGGATTTCCTTCTTTTTTAAGACTGAATAATATTCCACTGTACATATACTTCATTTTCTTTATCCATTCATCAGTCAATAGTCATTTGGGTTTTTCCATATCTTATATATTTTTAATAATGCTATAATAAACATAGGAGAACAGATAGTTCTTCAAGATTCTGATTTTATTTCTTTTGGGTATATATCCAGATGTGGGATTTCTGGATCATGTGGTGATTCTATTTTTAATTTTTTGAGAAACCTCCATACTATTTACTGTAACAGTATATGTACCATTTTAGATTCCCACCAACAGTGTACAATGGTTACAGTTTTTTTCTGTTTTTTTAAATATAATAGCAATCCTAATGTGAGCTAATGTCTATTGTAGTTTTGATTTGTATATTCCTGATGATTATATCTGATTCTAAAAGCAATGCTTTATCTGTGCTGCCATACATATTTTCCATAAGCCTATTTTCATACTTTTCTCCAAAAATGTATACCACCAGGCAGATAATTCCTCTTCTATGCTTTGTCTTATTAGATGGATCACAGGAAGCATTAGGACCCTAGAGTGAGTAGGTTCAAACATTCACCCCTAAATGGAGAAATGTTTCCATACTTCTATTATCTTTAATTGGTAGTAATTGTTATTTCTTTCTTTATTATTATTTCTCAGCCCTTTATATCTATCTAGCAATAAATATAAAACAAAAGAAAGCCACAATTCAAGTGTTTTATCAAGCTCTGCAAAATAAATTTATAAACACACCTGGTGGGCACTCTCCCTCTAGTGGTTAAGTAAACCACTAGAAGAGACTTGTGATTCTCTGAAATCCCTTATTTTAGGCTTAAAAAGATGTTGTTAAAAGTTGTTTAATATTTTTTTTATGTTGTGCATCGAGGTAAGCTTTGAACAACTTATCAAAAATGAATTTAATGATACTGGTAGTAAAAACAGGACCCAGTGTAATGGCTGGGATTCTAGACTTGATGCTTTGGTAAGTCTGGACTTTTTCTTGAAGATTTGGAAGGTGGGAAAGATGATATAATATAAAGCAACTTCAATATTTTTTTCATATGAAACTTCAGTCCATTTTTTGGAACACAATGAATTATGATGGCAAGCCCGTTTTAACTAAATTTTCTTCAAGAAGTGTGTTAGTACTTCATTTCTAAAATTAATAATATTGCTAAGAGCAGATAGAATCTTCTCTTCTTTTTTTTTTTTTTTTTTTTTTTTTTGAGACAGATTCTTGCTCTGTTGCCTGGGCTAGCTTAACTCACAGCAACTTCAAAAACCTCACAAAAACCTCAACCTCACAAAAACTCCTAGGTTCAAGCAATCCTGCCTCAGCCTCCCCAATAGCTGGGATTACAGGCATGCACCACCATGCCCAGCTAATTTTTTCTATATATTTTTAGTTGTCCAGCTAATTTCTTTCTATTTTAGTAGAGATGGGGTCTCATTCTTGCTCAGGCTGGTGTTGAACTCCTGACCTTGAGCGATCCTCCCACCTCAGCCTCCCAGAGTGCTAGGATTACAGGCGTGAGTCACTGCATCTGGCCTCTTTTGGGTTTTTAAAATGTATGTTTTACCTGCCTCCTCCTGCTTGATATAGACGTCCTGATTACTAGCAAGATGATGAATGTGAAAGTGGGAGAAGTATACTGTATGTATAAGACTCATTCCAATATCATCATTAATAAATTATTTAAAAAATTGATAAAAAATTGCCTTTTTTTACTGTGAAATAAACTTTACTCCTCTTTTAGATATGTTATAGATGATGGAGAAGTGGACCTACAATAAGAAGAACCTAAGCTCAGGCTCTGGAAGTATCTCTTGTTGTCTCTGTAACTTTGAGCAAGTCCCTCAAATTGAACATTGATTTTCTGTCCTTGGTGGAGATGTTTATCACTACCTGAGATTGGAGTGAAAGCTCAACAATTTAAGGATCATGAACTCCTCTTTGACCACTATAAAGGATCATATTACTATGTGGAATTATTACTATTGAGTCCCACTTTGGCTTGAGGATATATACATCCTACATTTGAAATACACATATATTCTTTTTTGTTAAACTGTATAATTTTTTTTATTTTTATGGATACATATTAGTTGTACATATTTATGAGGTACACGTGAAATTTTGATACAAGTATACAATGTGTAATGATCAAATCAGGGTACTTGAGATATCTACCACCTCAAGCATTTATCATTGCTTTGTGTTAGGAACATTCCAATTCCACTCTTCTAGTTATTTAGAATGAATGATGAAAACATAGTACATATACACAATGGAATACAATTCAGGTATATACATTTTTAAAAACAACAAATCTTGCTATAAAAATTGACAATTAAACTTGTATTAACAGTTGCGTTTTACGACCTATATTATAAAGCCTTTAAGTTTCTTTCAACATTTCCAGAGAAGATTTACTTAAAGACAGTTTACTCGGGGATAGTTAAGTGGGAAAGGGCCTTGTATCACAGAGAAAGGCACAAAACATACTCAAAACAGGTTGCTGAGAACTTTGAGTCTTTGAGGCTTTTCAGAAAATGTTATTGATGACTTCCTCCTGTCACAAATTCGTTTATAATGTATGCTGAGATTTTTAAAAGTCAGTGGGCATAAAATTGAAGAGAAAAAATGTCAGAAATAGAAAATATATTAGAAAATTTATTAATAGAAAATATATTAATAGAAAATATATCCTAATAGAAAATATATTAATATTTTCATGAATAAAAACTATGATATGTCATCATGACAGTGTGTGTCAAGGTACTGCCAAGAAAAAAAGTACAACTCCTTTAATTTCCAATGAACACTCTGCACCAACATTATGTACTGCAATAGGAGTTATAAATTGTATGATCACTAGACTTGAGAAAATCGTCAGGATTGTTTCCAACTCAGCCACTTCTAAGTCTGTGAACTCAATTAAAACTTCATTGGTATAACTCACAAGATTATCCTCAGCACCATGAATTCCTGTGTAAAAATGTCTTTGTAAAAAAAAAAAGCATCACCAGTATTACACAAGTATAAAATATGGCTATTACTATTAAAATAACTTGACAGAGTTTTCTAAAGTGAAAGAAGCAAACAAAATCTTTTGCATCACAAATATCCTAAAGTATTAACCTGGAGCTACAGTCTGAAGCTACAGTTCTTTCCCACCTGCCCATCTCTCCCCACGGGTTCCATTTGTTCTCCTTTTCCTCTCTGGCTTGCTGTTTGCAATAGGATTTGCTGTAAGAGCTAAGAGGCTTCCTGGACACAGGGTTACATACTTTGTCATTTTTTTTTCTTTGATTTCTCAAGCCAAGAAATTTGTAAAGCCACTGAAGTATTCATGTGCCCTCTCTGTGACAAGAACTGCTCACTGCAGAGACTCAATGACAGCTGTATCTATGCCAAGGTGAGTACAGACCCTCACATTTTCCCCTGAGCTCCACTAAGAAGCAGGTAGCAAGAAGTCCTCTGGTAAATAGCTTTTTACCAAAATTAAGTATTCTCAAGAGTTTCAACAGTTATTAGGGTCATTTACAACTGAATAAAAAAAATGTCAGTCTGCTGTGATTACGCAGAGAGTATACTTTTATTTTAATGTCTTTGTCTTCCTTTGTTTTTATAACTGATTATTGCCACAATAGACATAAACTTCTACTTGTAATGATATCTATATTCTTTTTAGCAGAGAAACAATTATTTCCATTGCTAATGATTCAGTTTGTATCTTCCAAAAATATTCAAGAAGTTAAAATACTTCTAATTGTACAGAGAAATGAAATAACATGCCCCAAATTCCCAGATCACTACCTATTAGAATTACCTGAAATGTTTTTAAAACTCTTGAAGTCCAAGTCACACCCCAGAACAATTAAATCAGAATCTTTGGGATCAAGACCTAGGTATCAGTAGATTTTAAAATTTCCCAGGCGATTCCAATGTTCATACAAGTTTCATAAACAGTTAATTTTACAATATTTTTATTTGTAAAAGAGTGTTATGAAAGTATCATTAGCATATGATAAAATGTACATATTTGAAATGCATGAATGGATACATTTTGTTATATGAATGCACCTGTGAAACCATCACCACAATCAAGATAAAGACCATATCTTTCACCTCTAAAAGTTTCCTCACACCCTCTTGTAATCCCTGCCTCCCACCTCTCCCTAACTCTAACCCTGTGCTCAGGTAGCCAACTGCTTTGTGTCATTATAGTGAACAACCTAGACTTTTATTTGCCCAAGACCAGCCGTGGCAGGCACTGAGACCCCAAGACTAAGACCATATTTTTAAATTATATGTGGCAAATGGACTAATCAAGTTGCCATGTTTGATATAGTTTATGGCTATCGTTTATAAACTATAGTTTATAGTTTATGGCCATATAGTTTATGCCATGTTTGATATATTTTATGTTCTGATACTCTAAGAGGCTGTTTCCTGTTTCCTGTTTCCAGCAAATACAAATGGTTAGTCGGGTTTTGCCCTGCCCAAGCGTTAAGGATTGGAGAAATGAGAGAATGTGCTGAACTCTAGCCTAAATTTTGACTTTCTGCTCTTCAAGCCTCCAGTAGTAGCTTGGCTTACATGATTGAATCTGCCTAGGAAGTGCCTTGTTCTCTTTAGCTGGAGGGACTCTAATGGGATAAAAGTTTTCAGAGCCTTATGTTATTCTGAGCCTATCAAGCAGTTTTAGAGAAAGATCCAGCAGCTAAGCTTCCCTCTTCATATGTTACGTCTGTTCATATCAACAATGTTGAAAAAAATGCTTGTCCATAGGTCTTCCTATACATAAAGATAAGCTAGTTTTCTAATACAACTATTCATTGCAAATATACATATTATAATAATATGTTTAGATAGTGCAAGCTTCTTTTTGCTTATAGAAAAGTCTGGTATTTAGCCTGGGGAACTTTCTTAAGATTTCATCTGGAGTTTTCTTCAATATAGCAAGTATTCTTGTCCTATCAGACAGAAGGTCACTTCCCAATTGATTTTCCTGCCAATCACCCATGATCTAACCTTGAGCAATCCACACAGTATGCTTGACTTTTCCTTCTCTCTTCCCCCGATTTCCATTCAGCTGCTCTTATATTAACACCGTTAATGAATCTCTTGGTACCTCAAACCATAACCACAGACTTCTAATTGCTCTTCTTGTCTCCATGATCTCCCACATCATAATACATCCCTTATGTGATAGCTTGGTAAATCTAACACAATCATTTTAAACTGTTAAACTCATCCTTAGGGAAAGTTCTGAAATCTTCCCTCTCTTACTAGCTTTATCTCCCATAACATGTATGTAATCCCACATTACATGACTATTACATGTATACTGACTGTATCTCATGGATGTGTTTCTAAAAATGTTTAAATTCATTGAGTTAAAAAATGCCTAAAAGATTTCTAAGCCAATTTAGAAAAACAAATGAGAAGAACTTTAAGGGAAAATACTGTATAAAGTGTGACAAATCATGTCCAGGCAACACAATTATTGTGAAGTATGGCTTTATATTTGCCATTTTTCTAAAAGCATGGTTATTTCTGGAGCAGGAGAGAACCGTTATTTCTTGGTGACCTTTAAGTCCCTATGTGTAAAGTCTCTGTTCTGACACTCTAAGAGGCTGTTTCCTGTATAAGGTCTGTTTATAAAGGAAAACAGACAGCTGTTCAGCGCTCAGCAGCCTTAGGTGTCTCTGTGGGATGCCTTTGGAAACAAAGAAGCTGGATTCCCCTGCTGGGTGTAATTTTATGAGCTCTGTAGGAGTATGTCTTTGTGATCTTTTTTTCTCATGTACATACTGTATACCGATGATCGTTCTGAAAACCAATTCATACAATATATTTAAAAAATCCTAAGCCCTCACAATCATAGACTTTTACAACTATGTAGAATATTTACACCTATCCACCAACCTTCAATAGAGGCCCATCTTTTTATGATATTTTTAGTAATGCTACATTATGGGAAAATAATGATTACCTGTTTTACATATTGTTTTTGCAGTGTGTTCCAGATGTTACAATTAAAATACACATTAGTGTTGTTTTAATACCCCCACTGAGCACCATAGATATTAGATTAAGCAAGGAGGACACCATTCTATTCCAACTTCTCTTATAATAATGTTCTTTCATCTATAATTGGCCTCACCCTCCCATGGGGAAAGTGTCCCTATTTTCTCTAAAGTTTCTACGGGATTTGTGTACCGGCCAAACATTTAGTGCCTTGACTGTAATAGTTTAATTTCCCTTACTAACTTACAAATATAGTGAGGAAATGTGAATAAAGACAAGCAAAGGTAAATTGAATTTATACTTTATTAAAATCAAACAATCATCGTGCCCCTGAAAATTGTACTCAATAACATCATGCAAATTATACATTCTTCTTTATCAAGTTTCAGTCATATCTGATTAAAAAACACTTGGCCTGTATTATACATGTCCACTGACTTATGAAACTTTTTAAATAACATGGGATTAGTTGTATCTTCTAGCTAATAGTGGACTCTGATACATTTTAAAATACATGACAGAGTAAGGATAGCACTGTCACACCTTCCCATTGGAAGTACTGGCTCGCTGGCAAAATTCTGCATTTTCCAACTTCCCTATGCCCGGAACTTTTGCTAACAGGAAGTTCAACTAAGTACACCTCAGCTGAAAAGCTAATTTCTTACAGCTCATATTGTAGTTTGACCACGTGTAACCCACAAATACTTTTGTTAGCGGCCTCTGAATGGAAGTTTTTCCAGGTTCTTGGTGATCGTCAGGAGAAAAGAGTTTCAGGACATGCCACATAAGCCAAGCAAGAGCAAGAACTTCTTTTATTGAAAGCAAAAATACATAAGAGAGTGAGAGTGCAGGCTCAAAAAGAGCAGCTGCACCAAGAAGTGGTTTCTGGTCTTTTGAAGTCTTGCTAATTGAGGGGAGGAATATTCGAGGATAAGGTATTGGCTTTTACTAAGAATTTGGGTCATAATTTCTAGGATTGTGTCCCCTCCCATTTTCATACTTTATACGGCTGTCTCAGAACTGTCAGGTGATTTCAAAGGCAGAGAAATTTTAAAACCACAATGTAAATAATATTATACAATTAGTCAAAGTTCATGTCAGGTGACAGAGATGGCTGACAAGCCAGTTGAAGCTGGTTTGTGCCTGCAGTTATCAACCCCTCTAGTCAGCTTCTGCTTGAGGGTTGTTTACTTTAACATCTGCACCCAGTCTGCAAGCCCCTGCATCTGGTCTCAGCTCTGTCTCCTAGACAACACTAACACTTCCACAGGGTGGTAGAACCATTTCTAAGCAGAACTGAAGGTGAAGTAAAAGAGAATCAAAGGGAAGAAAAAAGAAAAGAGAAAAAATGTTGTTTCTTCACCTCTCTCCATGAGAAAATCATATAAAATAGTTGCAGGACCCTTGAAAGGATCTCATATATTATGTTTACAAACTATAAAATAATGTGTTTCCATTTGGGAAAAAATCCAGAGTACCTAAATACAAGCAGTAATCACTGGATTATTATAATCAATAATATGACTAATATTTTTGTTTGTTTTCTGTTAAGGTAACATATTTGTTTGATAATGGAGGGACAGTCTTCTTTGCTATATTTATGGCAATATGGGGTAAGTATGTTCTTTCATTACTTACTTTCTAGCCCATATTTTCTGAAGCTATTGCTGTGTTTCTTTACACACACAAACCCATGTATCAATTCAACAATAAAGTCTCTAGATTGGAACTCACTTTGTTTGCCCTCTTATACATTCACTACTTCTTTGGGAATTTAACCCTTGATCTCACCCTCTAAGCCCTAAAGCGTAGACCTTCTTCCACTAATGAACATGTTTTTTCTGTGAAAGGCAGGTGGTAATTAAAGCCAAACAGAAACATACTAGAATCCAAATTAAGCTTCTTGTAATATTATTCATGAAAATGATGTTCAGAAGATTTTTAATATTTCCATTCACGTTTTTAGCCTTATTCTTTATACATTTTGAGATAAAGAATCTATTTATGCATTGTAGAGCAATAATGTCTAATATTAATAAATATAATAAATCTTGTTTCTAACAATTTAAAACTATACAAATTATATACAGGTATATTTTTTGGCTTTTTTCACCATGTTTCTCATTGAGTTTTTAAGGCACCCAATTAATTGAAACCTAAAGTATATTCAGACACGTTGGAGTTCCTCAACCTTCAAAGACTTTTAGAGAAGCAATTACTATCCTTATTAAGGTCAGCTTTCCTACCATGGCCCTGTTGAATGAAGTCCTCGTCAACTTGACAACTCAAGGGGCTGATCATGTATGTGCTGATCCAGAAAATTATAATGTACTAGAATACCAGTCTCTCATTCCTGTTGCCTTAATTTCTCAGGAACTGAAACTCTGGATTATATTCTCTTTATAGCTTTAAGTCAAAGATTTATTTAAAAAAATAACCTTTCCAATTTTCCTTTAAAAATGCTAATATTGATTTATGGCACTAGGACTGCAGGTGTAGGAGTGAGGAGCCAACTCCATTGGTTTCTGTCAAAAATAAATAAATAATAAAATATAGCTTGGGGTTATTTTTATAGAAGGATTTTTATTATTAAATTATCAGGCATGATGTAATCTTTAAGTTTTACCTATAAATGCTTCAGGACAGCCAAAAATTGTAAGAAATGAAACCTTTTCTATGATTTATCCTCTCTGTTTCTGCTACTAGTCTCACACTTTTAAAATTCTCCTTGGCACAATCCATTTGTCAGTGATCTTGTGTAACCTTTTGGGAGATGAGTTTGTTAAGAGGCCAGGATGTAGAGGAACACTTGCTGCCTGAACCCCTTTTCCTTTTTGTTTTATACTGAGGTACGAAGTGGAGGTATGTCATCCATTGGAATGCTATCACGTGCATTTTCTCTACCTTCTGGCATGGATGAATCATTCCCAGTTGGGTTGTAGTAGCTAGAATTTCCAAAACTCACATCATAAGGTTCTGGTGCGTTGTCTAATCGCAGAACTAAAAAAGGAACAAAACAAACAAAGTTGTTTTATAGTGACAGTCTGAAAGATGCATGCTAAGGCATCTACTATATTCTAGGAATTATTCTAGATGAGTAAGTAGGTATATATTTTATATGGGCTTCTCAGATTTTAGTTTTAAAATATTAAATAAGTAGATATTTTTCAAGCTATGTTTCTTTCTAAGACTAAGAGAACAGTTTTACTTCCAAAATTTTATTGCTAGTGGGCCTAAAATAAAGAAGCTAGAGAAGAGATTAAAATAAAAGTATATCAATACATTATATAAAGAAATATAGAAATATGCTTCATTGACCTTTGAATCTTGTCATTTCAGAGCCTTGTCAACATGTTTTTTAACTTCTGGTTTAAACAATAACTTTTTTTTTTAAATGAGGTCATTAATTTTAAAATCAATTTCATTATTTTATCAAGTATCTCACTATGTTTATGGTCAAGCCATTTAAAGTAGAGAAGGAAGAAAACTATTAAGGAAGTTTATGTTTCCTTCTGATAGATCCAAGCCGTTATGTACTTGAGGTTTCATGATTAATGATACAGGAGAATTTCTTTTCTTTTTAAATAATCAGTCAAATATTTTCTTATTCATCTTGAATTTATTTTCAAAGAAAAACTGGACATGTACTAGGTGTCTTGAAATACTACAAGCAGCGACTAATTACTAATTAAATTAGTGATCTAACTATTCACTTAGCATCATCAGATGCTTACCTACCTATTCCTTAAGCCATCTGTTTACAAACTGGGCTCCCAGGAATCTTAGGTCTTTAGGAGAGGTGTTTCAAAGCTTAGATCATATTAAATTCGATAGATAGAGTTTTGCATGAGATTGTATGTAAAGACAAGGGTATTAGGTTTAAAAAAGTTTGGAAACCACTGTTGTTAGAAATTCTATCCTTTAATTTTGAGAAGTGTTACTTTTTGTTTTATATGGATTACTAGAAACCCATGAACGGAATTCAGTTAAATTTACAATTAATGAATTTGGTTCTGAATATGAGAAAGATATCAGTCATGAACTGAACTCATCAAAATTCATTAAGACTTCATTAATGAAACCCACAAGAAACATTTAAGTATTTATTATAGTGACAAAAGTTTCTTGTACAAACCATAAAATATGTTTTTCCTGAAGTATAAAAATAGATTAAGTCAAGTATCTAATTTTTTTTATTTGTGTTCTAATTGGTAATTATTAAAGATTAAATTTACTATTTTATTTTTAGCATATATAGTTCTCATTTACAGATATTGTGGTTGGCCTTTTCAATTATATAAGTGGGACATTCCTGAATTAAGGTATATTCTGACTTTATGTGTACAAATATGCAAATTTGAGATACTCTGTTTTAACTCATGTAAATGATTAACAGAAGCCACACTGTATCTGAGTAAACTTTAGAAGAGCTCCAAATTAGAATACATCTTTGTTCAAATTGAAGCTACTTATAGATTTAATAATGGCAAAGAATAGCTTTGCAGTCACTTGCTAACAAAACTGGCTAATATTTTTCTTAATATTATACCATTATCTTCCAATTTTATATATATGTTTTAAATTCTGGGATTATTATTTAAAACCATTTTTGATGGAATGAGCAACAGTTCCAAATGAGTTTTAAATTTCCCTCACAGGTCTATAATTATTTTGGTTTTATTCTTGGAGAAACCGAAGGTGAATCAGAATCAATCCTTAGTTTGTTTCTGTCATATGAATTCCTGAGTCCCTTCTAGGCAATGCTGTGAACACTGGCATTCTCACTCAATTAAAACCACTGTGCCCAGATGAAGTCTTGAAATTTGCCCTTTACCTGGTTCATTTCTGTCATCATAAAGTCGCCGATGGGAAAATGAATCCGTTTTCCTTTTTCCACACAACAAGTAGCCAACAAGTGTAAGCAATGAAGCTCCCAGAATAGCACCTAAAATGGCCCCAAATACGACTCCTGTATTTCTATTCTCTAGAGGACAAAAAAAATTTTCAGAGAATAATTATACAAAGAACAGAAATAATATGCATGTAGACTTTATATATATTGAAGAATATTAATCATTTTAAAATTAGGTAAGGGTGAGAGAGTGTGTTTGTGTGTGTGTGTGTGTCTGTGTGTATAAAGTACTATTTGGGATATGCTGGCAAAATATACTTCTTGATAAAACCATGCTTCTCACATTCAAATACTTCAGGGTCTTAGCTTTATAACTGTGTCTCGTTACTTATGAACATCCATAGTGCTGAAATGCCATGTGTATACTCCATGAAGACCTGATTTCAATGTTGAATGCTGTATTCATTAAGTTTTCATAAACTCTGAATACAATGAACTTTAATGATGAAATGAACTTTGAGCTTATTTCTATAAATTCAAAGGTATAAAGCTAATAGAAGTAATAGGAAATGAATCCACAAAACCCCAAGTAAAAAGGCATTATAAAGAAAAAACTGTCTAATACAGGTTATTTCCAAATACAACAAAGACATCAAGGCAAGACATTTGCGATACCTTGATATCAAAAATAGCTGTGAAAGTCTGAGTTTAAGGGAGTCCAGAATTGCACTATATCATCATTTTTTACTGAGTGCCTTATTTGAACACTACGTTATCAATAAACTCTTTAATGCTCCCTGAACTCAAATCTAGTGTATTTTCTTTTCAATATTTTCCTTTTTTGAGAAGCATATTAATTAAGTAGGCAGGGGGTCATGTAAGGTCTCTGATTTATATAGAACCACATTTCTTAGAAAAATTAACTTTCATGCTGTAGTACAGTCAAATTGTTACTAAAATAAAAGAGAAGCAAAGTTAACTAATTTGTGTTTAGATAAAAGAACAATGGTAGGAATAAGTACTCAGTATTCTTAATATGTATACTAGGTTTAGGTAGACAAAAGAGAAGTAATATTTTTTAAAAAGTCTTTCTAATGGAAAGATCTGTATGAATGACAGGATATGTTAAAATCATAGCTAAAATGAAAATATATGTACTTATACAATATATTGGTTGCAGTGCTATAATAAGTCTATGTTTTAGGATTTATAACTTTTTCTATACACTGGCAGTAACTTTCAAATAGGAATTTGTATTATGATTTGGTTTTACATTGTTAACATAATCTCTAAGTAAGTTGCACTGGAATTCAGTGAGTTTATAGAGGGAAAAAAAAAAACAGTATTTAAAAGAATTTTTAAGGGAAAAAAACCCACAGACCTGAAAGATAAAATATGATAAATGAATGGTTAAATCTTAGATTTCTTTCCCACCTATGTCTTAAAACTTGACATAATCCCTAAATGCAACATAAAAATGTCCACATAATAATTTTTTTGTGATGTGTGTCAGATAATTTATAAATTCATTCATTTTGTTCAAGTTTTCAACACACATGCATTTTTAAAGTTCAGTTGTATAGCGTTCCTGTAACCATGTGAAATTACAGGAAGTCATTTTTAAGATTCAGTGAAAATTGTTATCCAGCATCTCACCACTGCCTCAGAGTCTCCATCTTTTCTCAACCTAACCTACTTCCCATCTTCTTCCATTGTCTGCTTATGCTCTCATAGCGTCATGACTGGCATATGTTCACTTAAGCTCCAAAATTACTTCACTATTTCCAATAAATATAATGGTATACCCCAAAAGTAATAAACACCTGTGCTGTGGCATTCTCCTCTATTTTTCTAGAATGACTTATTTGGCTATTCAATCCACACAAAAAGAAAGTTAAATCCATTTATATTTACCTTTTTGGGGATCTGATGTACTTGGGAAGAGTTTTGAATTATTGGTGAATTTTAAGGTGGGCTGTACAGTTGGCTTTTCTTGATAGGGGGTAAACCCAGTGAAGCTGTCACCATTTGTAGTATGCCATCCAGTTTGTTCTGTTATCAAGGGGGTCACAGACTTGGTAGTTGTTTCTGAAGGGAAGATGTCAGCTGTACTGGAATTGATGTTAGGAGTTTTCATGATATCACTAGCCAAAGACCAAGTGTACTTTTCTAAGGATACAGCAGGTGAAGCATTGGGACGTGCTGAGACTGGCAAAGGATTTTTATCTACTATAGATGTGTTCCAAGGCAATTTAGAAACAAAGCTATGAATCAAGGGAGGGGTTGGGGAAATCATGGATGTGGGTCTTGGACTCCCAGAAGAGTTCTCTGTTGACAAGTTACCGGAGAAATTTGTCATTCCGTGGACTTTGTTCAATAGATCCGAAAGTGGGGGATGACTTTCGTTGAGATTTGAGGTGTTTCTGTTTTCATTATTTGAATTTAAATTTGCTTCACTCTCCAAAGAAATAGGTTTATTTCTCGTTGTTTTCAAACCTTCTATAATGCTTTGTGTTGTGTTCATTTCTAGATTTTCTTCCCCGTGGCTCCCAAATAGTAGTGAACTAAACAAAGTTGAAATCAACAGAATCCTGGCTAAGGTCAACATCGTAGCCTTCTTTGGTATTGGTTTTATTAAATGGACTCTGAAAGAAAATAATCATTTATTTAAATTACTAAATAAGTATTCTACTTTTTAATGGATCTACATTCTTTTAAAGTGATAAAAATCAAAAGACATAATGTTGGAACAATATACTCATTAGTCCAGAAAAACGTTTATCTTGGGTGTGTACTTAAATTAGTTTCACTGAGTTTTATTTTCTGTATAATATTTCTTTCTCCCTTCCTTCTAGGGAAATGCCATGGAAAGATTTTGTCAAGCCAGACTACAATTTCAAAGATCATTTAGTTTGGAACAAGCTGAAATATTTAAATATATATACACACATATGTACATATTAAATTTTTTTAAATATTCTAAAGATAGGACATGAAGAGCTGCCTGGTCTCTTCAATCTATTTAAGAAAATATGTCTTTTATAAAGATGTAATTTGAAATATTTATTATGAAAGTGGCATTACTGATTATATATGAAATGTACCATATATCAGCTTGTTAAAGTAAGTCAGGAATTCCTTTGAATTCATTTTATTAGTATATAGTTTGAATTATTTAAATTTGACATTAACATACCTTTTTTCACAATACTTTTCACTTCATGATATCTTTCTACTCAATCCCCAGTTGGGGAGAATTAGAAGACCTTTAGATTTTACATTATTTTACTGTCTTATTTTATAAATGAAGAATATGGTTGGAGGTGGGGAAAATTTTACCTCGCTGGATAATGGCAAAACAGGGGTATGAACCCATGGTCCTGATATCCAATTCAGGCAAACTATTCTGCCTGTTAAATGTGGAAGTGCTACAATTCATAAATAGGATGATATAGGAAAGTTTTTGGTTTATATTAAAGTTCAGGTTTATATTAAAATTCTAGCCTCTGAAAAATAATCATCATAATAAACAGTTGCTTTATCATTATTATAATAACCAAACTGCACAGTGTTCTGAAGACCAAATGAGATGACTTAGGTAGAAGCACTCTGAACAATATCTAGCCTAAATTAAGACTTAAGAGATGTTAACCTCCATTTATTACTCAGCTGTAATAATATCTCTGTAGTATCCTACAGGTTACAAAGTTTACAAATATCGTGTCACTTGATCCTCACAAGAATTCCTGAGACAAAAAGAATAGCTTGGATTGTACCCATTTTGCAGATGAAACTGAAGCTCAGAGTGCCTAGTAGAGGAAGCTAGTAAATGAAAGAGGTAGTATTCAAAGTAAACTCTACTGACTCCAATTTGATTAGGGGCTAAAATTTAAAGTACTTTTAATAAAAATTTCTTATTTTTAAAATTAAACTATTCCTTCTCAAGCAATAAAGTCTAAGTACTGATTTCATGTTCTTTGTATTGGACCTTGTTTTTCACTAAAAGCCTCCAGGCTGATTGAGTGAGGAAAAGGGGGGAGGTGCAACTGCTGTTATTCAGGTCTCTTACTGTCTGCCAGTGTTCAAGAGCTCTCCTTGAAATTCATAAAAATGTTTTCAACCTTGCTGATTTTTCCTTAAGGTCTGAAGAGCCTCTCAATGCTCCCACTGATTATCTTTTGGTTTTAAGTGCTCCCCCTTTTACAAATGATTTCCTACTTAGTGGTACAACTTAAATATATCTATGATTACATCCTGATATAATATTTTTCTTCCAAAGCATTTAGCAAGCAGTCAATACCTGTGGATTCCTAAAGTTTTAGAGATATAATATCTTCCATGCCCTATGCTTTTTGTTTAAGAAAAGTTTACTTAAAAAGAAAAGCAGGCAGACATACATGAACATTTATAGTAGCATTATTTATAAGAGTCTCAAACCTAAATGTCTGTTATTAACAGACTGGATAATAAATTGTGGTATAGTCAGCAAAAATTAACAAACTAGAGCTACAAGCAACATGGATGATTATTACAAATATAATGCAGAGCTTGAATAGCCAGGTGTACTATGTGATTTCACATATATAAAGGTCAAATAGAGTCAAAAAGCTACAATATTAGAAGTCAGGAAAGTGCTTACTTGGGAAACGGAAGGAAGGAAGAACAGTATTGATTGGCTGGGACATGAAAGGACTTTATGTGCTGGTGATACTCGGTCTCTTGACCTGATTGTGATTACATAGGGTTTGTATGTGTGATCATTCTGCTTATTTATATTTCATTCACTTTTCTGTGATAACCAAGAAAATTGGTTTAGGTCCTAAAAATGTTTAAAGTGATTGGAAAATATATTATTATTATGCATTTATTATATCAACTGCTTTACACATTTTCCATTTAATTCAGTTCTTACCAAAAACAATCAAACAATGAGGAAGGATTTATTAATTCCACTTTGCAGATAATTAAGTAGGGCATAAAGAATGTAAAAAACATGTCCAAGGACTGAGAGACTAGTGACTGAGAGAAAGAGTTGGGATTCAAACCTTGGCATGTATGAGTTAAAACTAGTAAGTACTTATCTTTCTAACAGATGTTTCAAAGGAGTATAGAATTTGATACTCAGCTGCTTTCTAGAAATTCTTCCCACCATCATTTTTGTTAGCACGGCCTCTCCACATTTAATTACTTTTACCAGAACAGTTTATCACCCCATTGTTTAAAAGCACTGGAAATATGGGGCCCACTATCTTCAAAGTACCTGTCAAATACACTAACTATACTTTTTCCCTAATTTAAGAAAATCCTGACAGATACCTCTATAGTTTCTAGATGGACACCGTTATAATGTAGTTTACAGATTAGCATTTAGCAAAACATGAGTGATGAACCCCAAGAACGTATAGCTCACCAATATTTCATTAAATTTATGTGTCACCTAGCACATTTAAAATACAATTCAGTTTAGTTTAAAAATGGTTGTGCTTACCTTTTCAGAAACATCTTTCTCTTGTGAACTCTGTTCATAGCAAACAGTTTTTTCATTAGCTACTGCTAATGATCTGATTTGTGAATTATACTGGGCCACTCTTTTTAACATTATTATGCCGTTTGGTTTGCTTTGTCTATACCTAAATGTTTTGCTTATTTTCTTTTTCTAATAAAGTGGTCACCAGAAGGGGAAAAGGCTCTTAGCTGTTCTAGTTTTCTTATAGCGTTACATGAGGAATGTGGCACTGAGCTTTTATCCACTCCCCCCGTAATGAGAATCTACGTATCATGAGTCAACAAAGTGAGTTGTGCTGTTTCTGTTTCACCTTGCCTGTAACATTGAACCACCAAGGGGATCTCTCATTCCTTCACCCAGCTTTTGATTGTAACTTGAAAACCTAGGATATCAACACCCCAAAGGAGCCAAGCATTCTGTTACTGCCCATAATTTATCTGCTGGGAAAAGGAGAGAAAGAGAAGGGAGGGATAAGACAGTATGATGTGAATATGATTTACAGTTCATTTAGAAATTAATACAGCTGCAGATAAGGCTTTTGTGAAGGTTGATTTATTCCTGTTGTCCCCACATTGCAGCAGGTAGTGGGGGGACAACTTTGCCTCTGCCCCTGGCTTCTCAGAGAACCAGGTTCACCTCTTACATCTTAAAGGCATAGAAGCAGCCAAGAATTGAAGTCATCAGATATTCAGAACTCCAGTCCTGAAATTTTGCTGGAGCAAGAACTAGGTGATTTGGGTTAAATTTAACCCCAGCCTGAATTAAACAAAGCACATTGTATGCAATAAAAGCTAATGGAGGTGACACAAACTCCAGAGGGAAACAAATGAAATCTAAATTGTTTTTTTCTTTCCTTGCTTTCCTTTAAACCTCTCTCCATCTCCTGAGTAATATACTTAAATATTTAAACTATGTTATATACTTGTTATATAAAGCTGCAGTTATGCTGGATTCTGGACGGCATGCTTGAGTGTGCCCAAATTCATCTGTCAGCCAGGTGCGCTGTGGGGGCAGACAGAAGATGAGATGAAAGAAAAGTAGAAATGTAGAGGGAGAGAAATCAGAAGAACCAAATAGGATCATTTCTTCTCCTGATCTTCACCTATTTTTGCCCCTGGGTAGTAGCTCCCAAGGGAATTTTTAAGGTGTAACACAGAAACAGGGCTACAATCATCACAGATTTGAAAAACTTCTAAGAGTAGAATTACGATAAAACAAACAGAAAAAGCAAGCAGATTTCCAACTATTTCGTGATACTTTAAATACAGATTCTAAAATTTCCTGTATATATTGAAATAGTTTTATTGTTTCTAGTGTTTAACAACTTTCAAAACATGCCTGTTAGAGTTTCACTATTTTTAAACAATTCCTGTACACAAGGAGAATGAACACTATTTTTTCCTCTTTCTCTAGTGTTGGCACTGGAAGGTGGTTTCACGTTACTACTTTTATATGGAGGTCTGCAGAGGCTGGTGAGAGGAGAAAGAAAACAAAACAAAACAAAACAAAACAAAATTCTCAACTTCTGGCCAGTAAAGGAAGCAAATCCACACTCACTGTGCATAATTTTGCTTCCTCTTAAATGTATGAAGTCATTATTCTGCCCAGTCTCCCTGTTGAAACTGAGTCATACCCACTTTATACCAAGTTTTAGAAATAAAGAGATGCCCTAGTTTGTGTCAGGGAACTAACCCATGCAAACAAAGAAATACTAGTCATTCTAAACTCAGTCAAAATCAGAAATTTCAAGTAAAAACACCAGTTCAAGTACACTGAAGGAATAATATAAAAGCATGTTGCTATAGTGAAATAACTAATGACTATACATCAGGCTACCTTTTTTCGCAGTTACTTTTGATTATTTCTTGTTATAGATCTTAGGCTACAAATTAAAATGGGTGGGTTTTGTCTTTGTTGTAGGAAACTCAGTCTGCCAAGTAGCTAATGTCCCAGGCAGAATTTGAGTGTTATTCTGAGCAGCTTTTCCAATCATGGACAGTATATTTTGCTTTCCCTAAATGAAAGAGCTACAGTTAATGACAACTTAACAAATTCTGCTTCTAAAAAATGCCTCTTTCATAAAGAGAGATTTGGAAGGGTGAGAAGCCAGAAATAGGATCATGCTTGAGGACCTAAGGCCTATCTTTTCACTTTAGAGTTAATAAGAAAGTAAAAGTAAAAATAAAAGCATGGCATTCCTTCAGGAAAAAAACAAATTTCAAAAGTTTGTAAACATCCCTATAATTAAAAGACAGGTATGCATTAATCTGAGAAAAATATAATAGTATGTCATACTACCTTCTAACCAGAAAGCTCTCATTCATAAACTTCAGTACTTAAAAAATTATTTGGATATGTGTCAAGCTCAGAATAAAAAAAGAATGTGTCTCCAAATAAATGTTCTAAATTCAAATTTCCAAGGACAAGATTAACAGCCTTCTAGTATACTTCACTGTCTGTAGGAGCAGCCTATATGGATCACATAGAAAGTAAGTGGGAAATAAGCATCCCTTTAATAAAAGGAGTCTTACAAAGCCACAAAATGAAAATAATTTTAAGAAACTTTATCCACATCCTTATTCTATAGGATGTCTTCTGTAGTAAATGACTTAGCCTTTTAGATTTCCAGTGGGTGCTAGACCTGTGCACATATCATGCTAAATAAAATAATTATATGTACTGTACATTTTGCCAACTTTTTAATTAAGATAACCTTTCAAAAACATGTACAGAAGCTTCTAATCTATTGTATTAGAAATCTGCTATTGAAAAACTATCATGTTACAATGCTTAAAGCAAAAACCTTTAAGTTCAAGTGTGTAATTTAAATCTAAAATTCAATTTATATTCATGTTTTTATTTCCACTTTAAACATTTTGAAACCTTTACTGAGCTCTGACTTAAGGGAATTCTATTTTTTAGTCACATATGTTTTAAATAAGGCTTTATTTAACTCTTCATCATCTAGCAAATTTGGCAGTCATTTTTAAAGTTAATTTATTTAACAGAGCAAGCACTCATTTGGAAAGTAATGACTTAATGGAACAACTACCTGTCTTTAAAAGACTTGCCGTAGCTACTTGCCAGGCTGTTCTGTCAAAAGTTGAGGTGACTTTGATTCTCTTTGGAAAATTAATGAGAGAGAGAGGGAGAGAAACCAAGCACACACTTACCTTCAGGTCTAGGAGGTGTTTACAAACGGGAACTGAGCTGAAATATCACAGTCGTCCTGGCTGTGATGAGTCTGCCTTGCATTAGAGAAAACAGATAGATTACTTGTGACAATGGTGCACTAAGCAGGAGAGTGCCAAGGAAACAAAATTAGGCGGGGCTGGCTGTGTCTTGCTTGTGTAAGAAAGCACTCAAGAACCTGACTGACCTGCTTCTTGGTAAGCATTAAGATATCACCTCATTCAGGCCTTTAACAACAACAAAAAAAAGCCCAACCCTCCAGTTTTCATAGGTTGGTTGTTTTGACTTTGGGGCAGGCTATTCTCATCAGCGGTGACAAAACAAGGGGCATCCATTTCTTGCCCTAGGTGAAAAAAAGGACAAAGTCTTTGGTAAAGTCCTCCCTCGAGGTGTATCAGGAATTTCTGACACATGCCGGAGTACCCTCCCCCCCTTTGCAGAGGAGAAAACCAAAACAAGTTATGCCCCACACCTGTTGCTCTATACCATTCCTGTGTTCTCCTAATTCATAAATCAGTCTCTACCTTAGTGGGTTGCCCTGTTCGTGTACTTAAACCTGACCATAGACAATGTAAAGGAGTCAGCAGTGAGGCACCTTGTCTGCAGTACGCTGACATTGGTTTTATATAAAGCCGCGCTTCACAACGTGCATTAATGTGTATTGGGATCCTTGAGAACGCTATGAAGCCTTATGTTAGAAATAATCACCAGGGCTGAGATCGGATTTCTTGCTGACTTTCAGGAGTTTGGGTGGAAAGTGGGGCCTGTCGGAGAATGGCCACGTGATTCTAAGTAATCCTAGGGGCCTTCTCAATTAAGTAGTTTTCATCCTGTGTTCTCTTTGCTCTCAATTTAGAAGCTGGAGAGTTTCAGAAGTGTCTGGGTAATGCTTGATTAAATACTAGAGTTGAATAACAACTTGGCATACTTCCTTTGCTTCCTTTCACGGCTTATGAAAGGGAGAAGAGTGAAACTGGGATATTCTGCACATCAATATTTGGGGACTGCTGCCAAGGTCTATTCAGTTCAGTGTGCCTGAGTTTCATATTTGGTTTCTGTTGCACAAGAAGATAGGTTTCCAACTGCTGAGAGAGAAAACGAAACTTTAGCTAAAACGCAAGAGCTGGTAAAACTACAAATGGAATGCAAAGAATCTGCCCAGTTAATTGGCCCCAGGAAAGAACAAGGTAATTCTATAGTTTTAATTTTTCTGAAGCCCAAAGGCCCTTTCAGAGTTTGATTAGAAATTAAATCAACTTCTAAAAAATATTAGCTCAAAGGATATTTAAGCTGTCTCTGCATTGGTAATGAAGAAAAAGCAAGTAAAATTTAATCAAGCACTGGTTACTGAGCAATGGCTTAATAGAACACTATTGGTTATTTTCAGATTAGCCAGTTACTAGGAACAAATCTAACTACAAAATATTTCATTTGTACTGAGCCTGAATGGGCAGGATTGGTTACACCCTATCCCTAGGCATTTTCCTCTACATGTGTAGGAATATCGTTACCCTTTCTGCCTTGACTGTGGTAATAATTATGGCCTATACCAGGCATGAATATTAACAAGGCACTTTTGCTACAACTCTGCTTTCACTGCTACTAAAATTAAAGCTAATCTCTCATGATGTTCTTTCCTGAAGATCCTAGCTGTAGACTCAGAATCCTATTCATCATTGTCCTCCTTACAAGCATAAACAATTGATTAGAACTGACCCTAGAGATAAACACTACCTATTCTCTCTGTCTTGAACACATCTGTAAATTAAGTATAAAATTAAAACAGTGCATAAATGTAATGCTGCAGTTGTTACTTGGCTCACTTAGTTATGATCAGACACTTTAACTAAGTCACCTCAGTTGGAATTAAAAAAGTAATTTTTAGCCAAACAAGTCTCACTGAGATATAGTTTCAGGTTCTAGGTAAGGCCATCCTATTTTAGACCTTGTTTCTTTAGAGGAACTTAACAATAAAGGACAATTAGCTGAAATTTCATCAGCCAAGCCAGCTGAGATGACACATTGTGCAATGCTTGTATAATTTTTTTGTGCTTACCTACTATGGTGCCTTTCATCTGGTACCTGCCATCTGCTTTATACTCATTAATTAAATTTCACAATACATACTGGGAGGAAGAAACACCTCTTCTTTGTCTGAAATGGTGGAACCACTCACAAATGGAGTTTCCAGAACAGGAAAACACATTACTCTCACTGATGGATCTGAAAACAGTACCAGAACATAGCTTGGGACCACGTGGCAAATAAAATCAAAGCACTGTTTTGGATCCAAAAAAGTATTTTTTTGTACAAATCCTATAACATCAAATGCCTGCCACTAATGTCACCCATTGGGAATTTGTTTGCATTGATCAAATTTATTGATAGGTTATGAGTCTGAAACAGGCTACAAATTGAATTCTTGTTTTAACTCCCCATAGGTTCATGTGTTTAAACAACATATGTAATTATAATAATAAAATAAATTACATCATAATTATATTATTTGAGAGTACTTCAAATATTGTTTATAAATAAAATGAAATTTAATGGCTGGGAAACTTATTTTGGGATGATAATGTTTAATTTCTTTCAATATTCTGTGAGAATAGAAATAGAATGAAATTTATCATTCTATAAATGCTATAGTTGCTTAACATACAAGCTTATCTTTTTCCTAAGTCATATGGTATTATAATATGATCTTCACTTAATTATAACTTTATGGAAAGGTTAAAGGTTCCATTTTCATGTTAAGGTAATTGGCCTCTGTTAAGTAGGGATTATGACATACCATATATATATATGCACATATACATTCATGCATACATATGTAAATGATGAGCTAAGGATAGTTGCAAACCTGATATGTAGTGCTAAAAATAATTTTAAAGGGTAGATACCTGTGTAATTTTTGGCATTTAATTCAGCCCTAGTTCGAAGAAGTGAATGATATTGCTATAACAAAACCTGTTGTACTCCTATCTACACATTTATGTGAACATGTGTTCCCAGTAACTTTCAATATTCTTCTAAAAAAAAAAATTAAAATAGAGTTGATGCTATAACCTATCTAATCGTAGTCAGAACTAAGAGATATTCATGGATACCTGAACCACTGAAAAATAAACAAAAACACCATTGATCTCTTAGAGATGTGTTTATAATAAAATCTTAGCTTCCGTGTTTAATATTGATTAAAATTTGAAATGGATTATATTGTTTCATTAATTGTGATGATAACTGAATCCTCATTGTTTATTTTAAAGAGCCCAATGGTCACAAGAAATTTTAAAAATTTATATCTAGTTGTTTTCTTGTTTTAGAGAAGGATGACGATGCAAGATAATCAATAGACATTTTCAAAAACAAATATATATATTACATATTTTTACCTTGTATTTCAAATACAAATATATATTATATATTAAGAATAATATTTTGAAGTAAAAATGGAATGGAAATAGATTTAAAGGTAAAATGAAGCAATTTAAATTTTGCAACCAATAAGAGTTTATCGAAAGAATATTTTTAAAGGGATATAAGTAGGCATAAAAGACTGGTATAAATTATATTTTAAAATGTCCAGTTTTATAATCCAGTTATTTAAACGTTTACAACTGTGTAAATATATAATGAAATGAAATTTTGGATGTCATTGTTAGAAGACACAAGAAGATACATAGATTCACAAAATTATAATATTTTAGATTTTAAACATTTTGGATACATGTGATTTAGTGCATCTATTACATTCAAAGTGGTAAATCAGACATTTTCAATAATTTCTAAGTGATGCCTATTAATGCTTCAAGCTGTTCATAGATTCTAAGTATTTTATTTCCATTTTTTTGCAGTATTTAGTAGTGCCTGATGGCTATTTGTCTCCTACAACAATAAGTACTGATATGAAGTTGTGAATTTCTTGCCCTCATTGCTGCTTCACGACCATTTTCTTTCTCTCCTCCTTAAAGATACACAGATTTGTATCTCACATTATCAATTCATACTTCCTATTGCCTTTTCTTGTGGTAGTCATCCCTGGGGACACATACCCATTTCTCTGAAGATTTTTATTCTTGGCCTAGTATAGCTCTTATCAGTATGTCCCCCAAAATAACTCTGAGAAAGGACAATGTACACAGATAATCTTTCCAATACCCTGGCTGTTGATTCTTTGATCTCTATCCTCAAAGTTTTCCCTCAAGTACTCCCACAGCACATATTGCTATCAATAATAGCAAACCCTCCATAGATCTCCAGTCAACACATTGATCCTCCTAGTTCACTCCCTATAAACTCCAATTCCAACAATTTCTTGGCATAGATTTTTCAATCCATTGATCCTAACATATGTTTACTATTCTTTCCTCCCCTTTGCCCTCACTTTCTTCTTTATGTAGCCTAATGGGCAGTCATTATACTCACACACATGCACAATACCCTCAACTCTCTAGTTCTTATTTCAGTTTGTCCTAAGCCCATGCTTTAAAAACCCTAGTTAAACCCAACACTCCATCTGCTACCAGTATCTGTACTCATGCATATTAACATAGCTGGAGAAAAACACAGCTGTGCTGAGTAAATTGTCTTACTTTAAATTAATGATTACTAACTTTGAGTAGCCCTTAAGGTTGCCGTGTTATCATATTTTCTTTCTCTTTTTTTATTAACATGCAGCTCCTACACTCCTATTACTCCCAGCTGACAATTTTCTGACTACTGCATCATTAAAAATAAAGCAGTCAGAAGAAAATATCCACCAAAACCACATCTACCCACTTATCTATACTTGTGCCCACATCCTGTACATTCTCACATTATAACAGAAGACTTAGGCATCTCTAGCTAAAACCAATTCTTTTTGTGAACTAGCTTCCACCACTAATCACCTACCAAAGAAAACTGCTCAAGGATCTATATGCACAATCATACAAAGACGTCCAAGGAATATCTTTAAGTGAAAAAAAAGTCAGGTTTTAGATCTGAATGGGCCAATTATGGTAGGAATATTCTAGGTAGAAGAAAAAAGTGAGCTTTCAAATATCTCATGCATGATATATTCATTTTAAAATTATTATTATTAAATATATTAATTCCCTCATTTATTCATTTATATATTTATTGAGCATTTACTCTATGCCAGGCATTAGTCTAGCTCTGTGGATACAACAATGAAGAAAGCAGACAAAAACGTTTGCTTTTATGAGCTGAGTGGGCTGCAGGGAAAGTAGGGTATGGGGACATACCAGGTTTCAGTTAGAGCAAAAAGGTGAGGGGATATGAAAGACTTGATTGACTTCAAGTAAAAGGGGGCATAGTCAAAGTGTTTCAGGAGTTGGGAGGAGTGGGAGATTGTCACAGAGGTAATTTGTGTTCCCCTGTTGGTATGAGGATCGGATTGTGAGGGGTGAGAGATGATCTGGAAATTGTGGACTTTTTGAGGTAACTGATAAGGACAGGGTTAAAGACTACATTGATATTTGATCTTGATGGACC